TAGCATGTCAGTATTCCTGGGTTTCTATTCTTCACGTCTCCTGAGTATTCCTTTTTCTCATCTTGATTGCATATAAAACAATTAGGGACTTAGATATGACTGGTACAGTGACCCCTCCCTCAGCTAAACCACAAGGAACCAAATTGAATATTTTCATGAAGGTTTGACTTCCCATCGATTTTATCTCCAGGCAGAGTTTTGGAGCAGGATAAATTAAATAAGCCACAACTGAGATGAGTTTATTGACTGCTTTAATGATTAAAATGCTGATATACATTGTCATTAGGTTGTGTACATTCAAAGCCCAGGGCTGAGTTCAATGAAAGAAAAGTGAAGAATACCTCAAAAACAAAACAAGGAAAACAAGAAATGAAAACAAGTTCTCAGTGCAGAACAGTACAGGCATTACATTGACAAGACCTTACAATCAGTTTTAGACTAAAACGCAACAATCTTTGGGCTCAAAATATTAATTCTAGTGTTTTATTTACATAGACCAGTATGAATGCAAATGGACAGATTTGCCTTATAGTACTTCAGCCAGTTTGACACTATAAATAGAGTAAACTACTTTTGAAGCACATCTTAACCATTATCGTACTCAATCTCCAGATGTTTAGCACAACTAGATCCTGTCTCTTTTCAGCAATTCTAGACATCAAACCCTTTTTAAAAAATCTTGCTACTGGCACATCAACATTCATGATCATATTTCTGATGCTATCTCATTCAAATGTAATCAATCCACGTACACCTCTGTTTTCTGACCGTGTGACCTCAATAATTTTAACTGACTTCCTTTTCGTCTTGCTTTCCAACACTGACTTGCTTAGAACGTTCTGAATAGTCGTTCAGTTTATGTAAGCCCACAAAGAGCAGCTAGCACAGGTGTTAAAATGCTTTCTTCTCAACAGGCATGTTGTTGATTATTCTGACTGTGCCATTGTACAGAGGCTGAAAAAACTATTGAGGGTTTGTCCAATCAATGAGCACCAAAGTGCATAATAATAATCTAGGAGGGGTAGTGATAGTCACATCACAAGATAAACACATCTGGCTGTCAGTGGTACTCTGCATCTATTTGATTTATCTCACGAATATGCTGGACAGTCATTATTAACATGTTTAACTAAAAGACCCAAGTATTATTTGTCTGCATAAAAGGGCAGAATATTAGTTGCTGTGACCAATGTTAAGTCATTGCTCAGGAATATTGACCAACTTCAAGTAATCGCAGGTGAAGTGCCCTATCTTATTCCACAAGTTGGATAGATCCCAGAGATACTTTCATGATATAAACAAGCCCAATGGATAAACAGGCGCTGTCCCAGAGTCACCCAGTGTGCCAGTCAGTCACAGACTTAGCTAAAGAAAGAGGTGTGGAGTATATTGGCAGAAAAAACCCAAGTGACTGCACAACCAACTTGACATTGGTCACAGCAACTAATATTCTGCCCTTTTATGATGGATAGGCAATTTACATGACTGAGGCCATGTGTTACATGACTGAGATCACTTGTCGCAAGACTGAAGTCACATGCCTGACTGCAAGTACTTGGTGATGCACAGCTTCACCCAGTCAAGGAACTGAAGGCCATGCCTGTACCTCTTCTACTGGGTTTAGGAAAGCTGATAGACTGAGCTCCAATCTAATTGCAATGTTGGGAGTTTCATTAACATACAAAAATGAGGAAGAATCTAATAAAAGGAACAGGAGGGATGGTGAAAGCAACATTAACACCATCTCTTTTGGCAGGTCTCAAAGTATTGAGGAGATATGAGCAAGGGGAAGCAGGAGAACATTTAATCAAATGCCCCCAATGAGACTCTTGCGTTGTCGTTTGGTTAGTCTTGATATCAATTCCAGGTGATGCTTTCTCTTAAATCAATATAAAAGAGCAAACCACACTGTGGTAAGGACCATTACCATGTGACATTTCCCATGACCACATTAAGTAACATCATGTATTAATATAGCACCTTTCACATGAAGGACGATCTCAAACCACTTGATGAGTGCAGTAATGAACATCAAGTGAGAGATATAAAGATTCTGACCAAATAAATGTTTTATCAGGATTTTGAAGAAAATGTAGAATTTGAGAAATGTTATAGCACCTGTGAATTTCAAAGGTATATTGTACCTATTATATTGTATTAAAAAAGTATCACATTGTTCTGGATCAATATGTTACGCTGAGTGATATATTTTTTCTAGAACAGCAAGTTGCACTGTGTACCACATTGGTATAGAGCAGTATTATTCACTATCCAGTTAGAACAGGTTATATTGACCTACAACAGTATGCTGCACTGATCTAGAACAAAATGTTACATTGACCTTGAACACTGACCTTTAAATTCCTCCACAGTCATGCCCCACCTTATCTCTGTAACCTCCATCCCAGCGGCTCCTTTCACACAGTGAACACTGTCCTGCTTCATGTCTCCCATTTCGCATTCTGCCCCTGCTCTCTGGAACTCCATCTGAGAGTCCCTCCAACCCCTTTCCTCCCTTCCCTCAAAACTTATCACTTTGACCGTACATCTTTCCCCGCCCAACCTCCTTCAACTCACAACCCAAGAGCCAGCATTGTTAAGATGCCACCTCGACAAGAAATGTGCTACATAAATGTAAATTGTATTGTAACATCATGTAACATTGACCTAAAAAATGTTTCACTACAACATTTGATGTTGATCTAGAACTGCTATATTGTGAGGTATTACACTATTATGGAAAGTCTATTATCACACTAATCAAAAATAACATTTTAAGATTCAGAATATTACATAGTCCTGTCACAATATATTGTGCTACATGGAATTGCTCTACTTTGATCTAGAACCGTAATAATGTATGGCATTGGAAACGACATGTTCAAAGCATATACAATATTGTAGTAATCAATTTTAAAGCATTTTAAGCCATTCCGTGAAAAATAATGAAGTATAGAAGAAAACGTTTAACTATGTCACAAGACACATGTTTAAATCTGAGTATTATCATTTTCATCAGATGGGCTTTGAATGTTAACATTGGATACAAAAAGCTGACAAATGTACAGAAATCACTGAGGTTTACTTATGTTTCCACTTTACCCAACAGAAACATAGATCTAACAGAAGCAAAGTCAACCAGAATATATTTAATGGTAAATAATTCAAAGGGACAGGAGAACCCTATGATATTTCCAGTGAAACTGAAACGTTACTATTCTCTTCAAATAAGAATATCATTTGAAGGAAAGGAAGGGAAAGGCATTATGATTTGGAACCTTCAGCTCGAAGATACCCCAGCAATTGATATAGCTGCTTGAAAAATATCTAGAGGTTAATGGAATGAACTACAAATACAACTGGCGAAAAGTGACAGACAAGCTCTGTCAGCAGGAAGCAGACTTGGCTTGGCTTGCTTTGGTCACTGCGCTATGTCATTGGCACATTAAAGGTTACGTGTTGAGAAAGCTTATTTGGAGTCTAATTTGTGGCTTTTTTTAACAATTCTTAGCAAGGATCTCCATGAAAACCCATAGGAGCACTGCACCAGAAATAGACCCTATTGGAATAGGAGTTTCTGTAGGTTGACGTGACATAATTCAGAATATCAGAAGGAGTCCTCATTAGCATGATTTGGATTCTTTATCAAAGAATTCCACAATTTATTAAGAAATTATACACATTAGACCCCAATTTTTTTTAAGTACTACCAGACTTTGCTTTGTTGAGCTGAAAATCTTTGATAGAAATTATACAGGAAAGCTTGGAAGACCATGCAAGAAAGGTTTTGGAAACACACCACTCACACACTCAAGGTTGAGGTAGCTTGAGCTGGTGATGTAACTGGTGTGGGTGGACTGTCGAGCTGAATGTAATTTAAAAACTTTAATAGCTTTTTGATTTCAGACGCACATAAGTTTTCATCTGTGGCAGCGCTTCAAGTTCACAGGTCCATTCAGAACACATTCTCAGCAATTTAAAGTGCTACTATCATCGGTAACACACCCGATTCACGTGTCACAGATTCAAAGCTTTGTCCTGGTGATAAAATAACAGATTGCAGTTCCCCCAATGGAATGTTTGCCTGGAAGAATTTCTGACTCTCAAACCAGAAATTCCTGGCAAATATTTCCCTTTAAAATGCCAGCTCCATCATCAAAGCACGACTACCACTGTGGTCAAATGTGAGATTTCTATTTGTTTTCTTATGGTCTACATTAGACAATGATCCCTTTTATCTGAGTGAATATTCAAGCTGAACACTTGACCACTTGACTGCCTGGAATACATTTAAAAAAATTATCTGCTAATAGGAAAGCAACGCTGAATTTCTGAACATTTTCCCGCTGGAGATAGCTAAATAAATTAGTTTTACCCCCATTCTTCCTAATTTTCTCCCATCGTCTTCTGAAGATGCTGACTTAACCTGGTACTCCAGTCACTCATTCTAGAAGCCATTGTGAGTGCAGCGTCAGCAAGCTATTTAAGTGTCGGGACTGAGTTCAATCCTATCCCCACATGAGTACTCGCCAGCAGGAGTCACTGGATCCTCACTGATTCTCCCTGCCTGCCACATTGGCTTGTATTCCTGTTAAACCAACTTTCAATTAAAAATAAAAACCTACAGAGAAGAAACTTATAAAAATGAATTCCAGCCCTTGAAATAATGCCAGGAAAATTCAGTTTACCTAGGAATCTATCTCAAGAGGTGGCAGCAGCATAGCCAGTGTTAATGTCAGTATCTGTTCAGATGGACGTTAAATTAATTTAAAAATATTTTTAGCTTGATGGCAAGGCTGAGAGAAGGTTGATTTTTTTTGTGTGTGTGTGAGAGAGAAAGAAATTATTTGAAAATCAAGCCTATGAAGAGTGATTCGATCTCTCTAATTCAAGATGTCATCTTAAAACACAGCAGCATTGGTGAGAGGCTTGAAAGCATTATTTGCAACAAAGACTTTTACTCTCTTGGCTTGCATTCCCAACAAAAGAACAGCAGCGCCCACAGTAAGACGAGTTTATATTAGAATATTTCTGCTCACAATACAAGAATTACCTGCTTGCACGGTACATAGTTTTAAAAGCTTAGCAATTTTTTTAAAAGGCATCATCCATCTCGACAGTCCACGTAGTTTCCTTTGATCCAAAAACAAATCTGTGCATACTTTAGTGGAGTGATCCTAACAGCGACATTGTAGTCCTGCTGCACCCCATCCTTATCCACCCATTGGTGACCTGAAAATATTCCAATGACTTTCCGCTCCCATTTCCGATTCTGCCTTTTCCACATCCGGGTGTATACTCCTGATCCACTGGCTCCCGGCTGTGCATCACACTGCTGGTACAGGAGGTCATAAGTTTCATCTTCGACCGTGCAGAAACGATAAACAAGATCTCCTGGACGATCATTGTCAAACCCAGAAAAATGAATCCTGCCTCCGGGCAACCTCCTACGAGGAGGTGTGACACCTATTTTCATAAAGGGCTTCTTGTGAGCCCTTTTGAGTTCGAGCAATGCATAGTCATAATCCATCCCAATATCATTGGCAGAACCTTTGATCCATCCCTTGGGAACATGTGTCCTCTTTACTCGTATCCAATGGAATTTGTTTTTTTCTGGAAAGAATGATGTGGTCTGGTTTCTGCCTTTCCCATTCTCCTTTTGCTTTGGTTTGACAAATCCGACTTTCAGCTTCCGTGCACCCTTCACGTAACTCTTGCCATCGTGGATACAATGGGCGGCAGTCAGAACGTGTTTCTCAGCTACCAATGTCCCAGTGCAACCGGTGGATATTTTCACTGAAGTTGAAAAAGGATATCTCAGTAGAAAGTTTTTCCCCAGAATGCTGAATCTGTTATCCCAGCCATAGATCTGCCGTTTTGTTCTTGTTCTGCCTTTGTCTACCAAATAAGCATGAGCGAATCTATAGATTCCCACGTTTGTGAGAGTTCGACTTCCATTCAGGTACAGAGTTTCGTAAGACAGGTATTCTTTCAGATCTTCAAAGGTTGGTAGCGGCACTTTCTTATGACAATCTAATGCACACAGAGATGTTACTTCCAGCTTGGCTTTACCTTGAAAGTGGGGGTTCTCTAGTGTCATAGTTGTCTGAGGCAAAACAGCAGGTATATTTGTTGATTGCCATTCTGGCTTGAACAATGCAACTTGCTTAATGGAACACAAGAAAAGGACTAGTGCTGGCAACGTTACCATGCTGAAGGCTGATCTGCTGTTGAGAGAACAGAATTTAGTTAGTGCTGCAACAACAACAACAACAACTTGCACTTATATAGCGCCCTCCACGCAGGGTAGTGTCTCAGAGCACTCAACAGTGGCAGAGCCTGATTCCGAGCCAGGGGGGGTGGTTCCGGGGAGGGGGGGGGGTTGTGGGTGGAGTTGGCCCGAAGCACGGTCAAAGAGGAAACTTTTCAGGCGGGATTTGAAAAAGGGGAGAGAGGGGGCAAGGTGGAGGGATTGAGGGAGAGTATTCCAAAGCTTTGGGGTGTAGTGGCTGAAAGCACGACCTCTGATGGTGGGGCAGAGGGCGCGAAGGATGAGCCGGAGGCCGGTGTCAGTCAAGCAGACATGGTGGTTTGGGGAGTAAGGAGGTCGGAGAGGTAGGGAGGTGCCAGGGAGTGAAGGGGTTTGAACACAAATGTGAGGATCTTGAAGTAAATCTGTTCGGTGATGGGGAGCCAGTGGAGCCTGGCCAGAACTGGTGAGATGTGGGTACGGAGTTTGGTCCGGGTCAGTATGTGGGCGGCAGAGTTCTGAAAAAGCTGGATCTTTTGAATGGTGGGGCTGGGGATACCGGCAAGGAGTGCATTTGAGTAATCCAAGCGGGATGTGACAAATGCATTCACGAGTGACAAGCACTGCAGACGACACTCTGACAATCGCAGGTCTAAAGGCCACTTCCCCAAACTAACTCCTCACAATTGCACTCATAAAATGCTGATCTGACAATTTAGGCAGCAAGAGTTCTATCCTGACAAGATTGTCTCTGCTTAACACAACCCAGCATCAAATAAATCAAGAGTAAAATAACCCATTACGCCTGTAGAAATATTTTTAAGCATCTAATTTTTCAAGGAGTATGCAGTTATAAATATTGATTTTGTTATCTGGATTCACTAATAGGCATGCACCAAGTTCCTGTCAGTAACTGGAGGTGAGACATATGAAACTTTACGCAAGTAAAACTTGTGGACAGAGGTCCGAAATTGTATAAATAGTGGAGAAGGTGAGACCGGCGAGGAGGGCGTTTGAGTAGTCCAGCCGAGAGGTGACGAAGGCGTGGACAAGGCTTTCGGCAGCTTGTGGAGTGAAGTATTGTTGGGAGACAGACAATGTGGCGGAGGTGAAGGAAAAAGCGGTCCTGGTCAGAGACTGGATGTGGGGGAGGAAGGATAACTGGGGATCGAACCTGACGCCTAAGTTGCGCACGGGTTCAGAGAGATTTAAGGACAGATCAGGTAGGTTCGAACCGCAGGACAGAACTGAGGAGGTCGGAAACGCAGCAAGACAGAAGACATCGACGGGAGCCAAAGAGTATAGCTTCTGTCTTGTTGACGTTTAACTGCAAGAAGTTTGCGCTCGTCCAGCTCTTGATGTCCGACAGGCAAGCTGACAAAACATCAGGGGACTGGGGGTTGTGGCTGGAGGAGGAGAAGTAGAGTTGAGTGTCATCCGCATACATGTGGAAGTTAACTCCGTGTCTATGGATGAGAAGGGGGCCAAGGATGGAGGCTTGGAGTACCCGCAGCTGATCAGGCATGGCTGAGAAGAAAACACATTTGCGGAAATGCAGTGCTGGCGGTTTGTAAGGTAGGACTCGAACCAAGCGAGTGCGTTCCCACTGAGATGGATGATGGAGAGGCAGTGGAGGAGGATGCCATGATCGACTGTGTCAAACATGGTGGAGAGGCCCAGGAGGATGAGGAAGCAGGGAGAGCCCCGGTCACAGGACATCATTTGTGACTTTCACGAGCGCTGTCTCTGTACCATGGGCAGGGCGGAAACTGGACTGGAGGGGTCCAAGTAGTGAGTTGAGGGAAAGGTGTGTGAGACGTTGGTTGGCAACAACGCGTTCCAAAGCTTTTGCTAGGAAGGGCAGGATTGAGATAGGCCAGTAGTGGCCGAGGTTGGAGGAGTCGAGGGTAGGTTTTTCTAAGGAGGGTGTTGTTGATATATACTGACTATCACCTCAGGATCCATTGGTATATTGATAGCAGCAACCGAATGTTCCAGAAGAATTGAGGGGTTAAAAGTAGCTTTGCTGGACGGGTTGAGGTCAGCTTCTGATTACATTTCATATTTTCCTGCCTGGGCAGATGTTCACTCCTCTGAGATAATGAGCAGTCGGGTCCTTGAGCACAGATGTAAGAACAATGGACCACAGAAAGAAAAGGCTGCAGCCCCAGACACCTGCCTATCTCAAGTCTGAGAAGCAAGCCAGCTGTGGAAGGCTGCCTAGAAGTTGTCCATATCTCTCTCTGCAAAGCAGGCTGCGAAGGGTGGGAGCTATCTCTGTGACAGGGGGAGGTGGAGTTAGAAACACATAAAAGATGTAACTTTAAAATAGTTGGAGTTGTGTAGAGGGTCAGCGCACTTCCCAGTGGAATTGATATCAATTCTACTGTATCTATGTACATGTGCAGGGGTGAGGGGATTTACTTCCAGTAAGAAAGTGACCTTTAAAGGTGAAAGAGGAGGAGTAGTGAGGTCTGTAAGGAAGGAGGGTTGTCTCCAGTGGGACTATATTTGAAAGGAACGTGGTGTCAAGTAAATTGGTGATGACGGCGGTTTTGAGGAGGAGTGGGACTGATTTTGAGGAGAAGGACTGGTTAATGGTGTCTGCCAGCAGTGAGCAGAGGAGGGGGAGCTGGGTGATCAGCAGCTGGGTGGGGAGTGGGGTCGAGGCAGTAGATGATGGGTTTCATCAGGGTGATGGAGGATGAGAGGGAGAAAGGAGAGATGGGGGCAAAGGAATTTAGAATGGGGGTTGTGGTAGGAGCTGAGTTGGGGTGGGTGGGTGAAGGAGACAGAATGGAGTGGGTGGTAGGGGGTACAGGGCAGCAGGATGAGGCTGCCAGGTGGATGTTTTCTATTTTAGAGGTAAGGAAGTCCACAATCTCTTCACACTTGACGTTTGATGTAATGATTGAGGGTGCTTGAGGGGACGCATGGAGGAGGTGGTGGGTGGTGGAGAATAGGAATTTGGAGTTATTTTTGGTCTCCAGAATGATCTTTGAGATTAAATGCAGTAAGTGTTCAGGTTATTCTATTCTTTTCTGAAGGTCACAAGAGAGGCGAAGATGACAATCACAATACCCATCGTAACACCCTCTCATCTTCACACCAAGCTATTTTTGTTAAATGCACTCAGTGTCCTGGCCTCAACCAGCCTTCCTGGTAATCTGTTCCAATCATTGGTGTCCCTCTAGGTAAAATAATACTTGCTGATGCCTGTCCTGAAATTGCCCTTTGCAACCCTAAACCTGTGTCCACTTGTTCTGCTGTCTCAGTGCATCTGACAGCAGAGTTGTTTTTCAATTTTATTAATTTATAGTTATTTTAATCTAGTTGTCACGCATAAGCATCAAAGCATTAATACGTTTATCTCTTGAGATAGAATGATGTTGCCAAACCACAAAAGTAACCTATCAGTTGAAACAACACGTTTAAGATAAAATAGTTCTGTTTGGATGCACAGCATCAAATTGAAGGGAACAAGTCTGTTGTATCAGTTATGCAGCAACAAAATAAAACAGGGAATTTACTTGTTACATTCTAGATCAGTGATTTTTCCTGTTTTGCAAGATTCATTTAAAGACACTGTCAGTTTTAAAATGTCAGATTCTTAGCTTTGACATTAGTCAGTGTTGGAGTGGGTGTTTCGCCATCTGAGATTTCAGCGGAAGGCATACAAAAGGGTTACTGTCTCTTCAAATGTCTAGCTTTAAAAACAACAGCTACAAAGCATTAACCATAGAATTACGTCAGTGCACACTGTGTTGCTTAACCTAATACTCAAACAAAAATCAAAAGCTAATAAGTGCAGCATTGTTGGAACCTGTGATTTTATCCATTCAGGATCTGTAAAGCATCTGTAATTATGAAAAAACTGACAGGAAAAAGTGCCCTTGACATTGTATGTGATTATTGTGATCTCTGCATTAACATCTGATACTCACTGCAAACTTTACTCAAGATTTATTTCACTAGCTCAGTGAGTTTACCACGGGAGTAGCTGAGCCTTTAAGACCTGAAAGAGACCAAGTTGTAAACTGAGTCTGTGCTGAGCTCAGCAATGGAGGCAATAAGGCAGTAAGGAGCTGTTATAATTGAATACTGTATAGCTTCCTGAGTAAAAAGAGGGATCAAATGAGCCAGAGTTTCTGCTCCCGATCACTATCTGTTTCCTGCTGGAGGTGCACATAAATGTATGTGTGTGCAGTTGTGGAGACTAGGTACGAACAGGATTGAGCTTGACTATAATGACTCTTACAGTTAAATATGGCAGTCATTGTCAAGACACGCACAGTGGTAATGGCCACTTGAATAAGTCACCAAAGTCTGGAGCCCATCAAATCAGACACCAATAGGAGGGAAAAGAATCAAAGAAAAGAAAGAGCAGAGAAAATTGGCAGAGGAATGTTCATTTAAAACTATTCATATGTTTTTCAAACTTTCTAACTATCTTTACTAATTAAAGATAAGTACACATTCAACTTTTTAAGATAACCTTTACAATAATAGTCCTTATATTTAGTATAGTGCCTTTCATGTCAGGAGGATGTCTCAATGCTCTTCACAGAATATACTGTTAAGTGGATTGACTGTATATTTTGTGGGCGAATGCAGCAGGTAATTTGGACATAGCAATGTCTCACCATCAGCCAAGAGGTGAATGACCAATTTTATTGTGGACACCAGGAAAAATTTCCTTCTCTTTTTGAATGGTGCTATGGGATCCTTAATGTCCACCGGAACCTTTAAGATTGCTGCTGGAGTCAGATTTAGGCTTCGTACTTCAGCAGTATTCGTAATGCCAGTGATAAGATAAACCAGGGATCTATTGTCAGATAGGTGTCAATGTTGCTGCTATTAGGTGTTATTTTACTGTGAGTGTCTTCAGAACATGCAGAGACAATGTAAAACCAGCAGAGTCTTGAAATAAAGCAGAATCTCCAATTTGTCACTGGATTTTGAGCCTCCAGCACCGCA